GTATTTATCCTCCAGAACAAAAATCACATTCGTCCACCCTATTCCCATATCCTTTTATTTCCTTTCTCCATCCACTTTTCTAGTCTGTTCACTGATGTTGTTATAATTTCTACTTTAGCATTTTAGCCAATTCAAGGAGGCAATAGCCTAATGGTATTACCGCTACACTGTTAATCCAGGGCCCTGGGCAATGTTCTTAGGACCTAGATTTGAATCCCACCATGGCAGATGGAGGAATTTGACTTCAGTAACAATCCAGAATGCACCATCTAATGATGACCATGAAATAATTTTGTGGATTTGTTGGAAAAACCTATCTGGTTCATTAATGTTCTTAGGGAAGGAAACTGGGCATCCTTAGCTGGTTGGGTATACATGTGACTCCGGACCCACAACATTGTAGTTGACTCTGAACTGTCCTTTGGGCATAAAGGTAGGTAATAAATGTTGGTTCAGCCACTGTATCCATAACCTACAAGTGAAAGAAAAACAAAGAACTGCAGATGCTAGAGATCTGAAACAGAAACAGAAATTGTTGGAGAAACTCAGCAGGTCTGGCAGCATTGGTGGGGAGAAAGCAGAGTTATTGTTTTGAGTCTGCTCTTTATCGGAACCTGATGAAGAGTCGCCAGACTTGAAATGTTAACTTTGTTTTCTCTTCACTGATGCTGCCAGACCTGCTGAGTTTCTCCAACAATTTCTGTTTCTGTTTAATAAAAAGTGAGCCTTTGGAAGTGAATTTCACAATCTCAAAGTTCTGTTGCGTTTAATCTTGTCCCTATGGCCATTCATCCCAGAAATATTTCAACGATTCAGAACAGTCTGCTCCTTTCTACCTGACTCCATCCTTTCATCATTTTGTAATCCATGTTGCTAAACTAGGAAGAAGCCCCAGTGTATTTTATCTTGGTAGACAGCATCCTAATGAACCTATTATACCCACTCTAAAGCCTTGACATCTTTTTCACAGTGTGGATCCAATACTACTCACTATAATCTGACTGAGGACTTTAGTTAGGGTCAGTTTCTATATTATAAACCCCTGCAATCATTTATGTGATCTTTTCTATGTACAGCCCCATTGAGTGTTTCTCGTGATGAAGGTGGTATATAAAAGCAATTTGCTGTTTAGTATCTGGAGTTCTCCAAAGATTTGGCTGGTTCAACAATCAATGGTTGGAAATATGGAGTGGAAAAGTCTTAGATGTGATTTTGGATCCGTGTCTAAGTTCACAGATCTCAGCCTAGGTTGGTGACCTCTGAGCTAGGCAGGAGAGAATTGACCAGAGTTTCCACTTCTGAGCAGTGTCCGATTCCTGAGGGCATAGATTTGGAAGGTGAAAACCTTTCAGTGTTGCTGACACAAAATGTGTCAACTGTGAGTTTCATTGAAATGTAAAGTGGGGTGGGGTGTGAAGTGGGCAAAAAAACCCACATCCCTCACATTGTTACAACCCGCCATGACTTAAAATGACTGTCTCAGATTTGAATTACATTGACTTTATGAACTGGATACTGGGGGCAGGTGGCAGGGAGTTGTAGGGTACCCCATTTCTAAACTTGAAAGGGAGAGATGATACATGGTGTGAGAAAAGGGCGCAGATTGGTTGGCTGTGATTAGTTGAGCTGTTGCCATGGCGAATCCCCCAGGGCCCAGCTAAAGTGATGTGCTATGTACAATAGGCAGAATGGAGGTGAATCAATCTGCTCATGGTTGCAAATATTATGTCAAGCGCTAGATGTGATTCCAGATTGGACAACACTTGCTGAACAACCCTAGGTGTTCCATGAATTGCCATTATAAGATTATCAGTCAGACTCCCAATGTTTGATATTAGTTTCAGACACATTCATACACAGGGACCTGTCCTCTGCAGGCAAACTGAACATATCCAACCATTGCGCCCTTTTTGAATTAAACAAAAGCATGGGGAACAGCAGTTCCTTAGTGCATTTTCCATGGCAATGTCTCAATTTATTGGCCTCAAGCTGCCAGCCAATCAGCACCCTTGTCTTATAAGGTGTAAATTGTTGCTCCCTTTAAAATTTGGCATTCTTACATCTGTTTTGATGAGTACAAGAGGTAACAGTGTGTCCTTTTCCCAGCAAAAACAAAAGTGCTTCTTGACCAAAGTATTGAAGTTCTTGGCCTCAATCTGAACACTGATCAAATTGATAGGTGGAATGGCCCCAAGGGACTGAAGAGTCTCCTCTTGTTATTTTGTCCCAATTGGAAAGCAAACTGCAAATGTCCTGGCCACAAGAAAGGAAAAAAAATTATGCGGTTAAGTTCTGTCGAAACCTCCCCATCCTCAACTTTTCATTTCTCAGGCACTACAACGTTTGTGACAATGCGTACAAACCCGAGAACAAGTTCCGCTTTGATGTCTGTTGAGTGTTGCAGAATGGAATCACAAGAAGGAAGGAACTTGTGAAGGATTTTAGGAACGTTTGCAAGTGATTGCTATGATATGAATAGGAATTCATGAGACAGAAAAAGCACTAGCCAGTCATCGCATGAATGCACATCCATGTTTACCCTTCTTTCTATTTCTTTCAGTTGCTGAGAACTTGACAAAGAAAGAGTTTCACCAAGTGGACCTCCGAGGAATTGACAAAATCCTCCCACTGAGGATATCCCCGTTTATCAATGGTGAAATTGTAAAAATAATGGTATGAAGATTTGTTTTCTTATTATGTATTTTTCACTTATGTTATAGGAATGTTTATATTTATTCAGTGAAATCACCAAAGGGGCAAACAAAAGTTACAGTTTGGGTGCATTACGGTTGATTAAGGGAGGAATGGATGTAGTTTGGTGTCAGATATTCCTTGTATTCCACGAATTTACAGTTTAGAACGAGGAGTAACAGTTCCAGCACCGTGATCCGGGAACATGGGAGTAACAGTTCCAGCACCGTGATCCGGGAACACGGGA